GAATTATAGGTCTCACCTTTGTTATTCCTCGAGCCACAATCCCATCGCCACCGCCGCATGTGACGGAGGAGTTAATGTATTTGAGAAAACCAAAGCCGCTCTAAACAAAACAAATTCGAAGCAGACTACTTCTCTCATTCCAAGGTAGCCAGATAATAGTCTTATGGAACCGCTTTGCATCCCCATCGGCACAAATACGATCGATGCGTTCGCCAAACGACGTGTGCATATACGTATCGTCGGTTCTCGGTTCGATCACAAAAATGCAGTTTCACTTGCGAAAACAGGACCAGGAGGCCGGAGATATGGCCAAAATGAACCCTCGTTGCTTACTTTTGGTTTTGTATATATATATATATATATATATATACTTATAGATAAAGAAAATATAGCGTAGGATGCCGAAGAGTATAAAGTAATAAAGTCGCACTTCGAAACGTTGTTGGAGTTTTAAAGCATTTAGTGAGTCGACGTTTCGGCCTGAGACAGGCCTTCCTCAAGACTGGTTGCCAGAGTCGGTTACAGGGTTGTTTTCGGTTTCCCCACCCGGGCCACGTCACCTGTTAGATCACGTGTAAGAATGCCCAAGTAAAAGAGCCCAAGTGAAAAAACGCTGCTGTACTCCCCCCACTCCACGCACGGCCGCAGCAGACGCCGGCAGCCATCGGAGCAAACCAAAGGCCACGTCAGACTTCGTGACCCCAGGAACGTCACGTGCGGAAGGCGCAGTAACGTTCACATAGTTGGATCGGCCCAGATGGCCAGCAACGCACACCGCGAAAGGACGCAAAGTCAAACAAAGCAAAAAAAAAAAAAGGGGAGGAATGTAATAAGCGCACACAGTAAATAACGCCAAACGCATAGAAAAAACCCCTACATAGAGAAAGAAAAGGTGAAATAAGCACACAGAGTAAATCAATGCCAACGCGCATAGACAAAACCCCTGCAATAAAAAAAAAAAGCGTACGCATTAAATTAGGCAAACGCTCGGCCGAAGAGCATAAACAAATCTCCTGCAAAAAAAAAAAAAAAAAAAAAAAATCGTAAATATAACAGTGTTAATCACAGTCCCAGAACATTCAACAAGGAGCAACAGGTGGAAGATGCCTGTTGAAGGTCATGACCCGTTGACTCATGGACAGGTTATACAGAAAGGTACTCGGAAAAATTAAAGGGTTGAACGAATGGGATTGAATTAGCTACAGTCACTCCGCTACAGGGGGATCAAGGTAGATTGCAGTCATAGATAACATTATACCTGGATCTTCATTAATACCGGCCCGGATTGAATTAAATTTGTAAATAAGATACGATTCTCTCTGCTCGCGATCGCGGTTGCTTTTTAAATTGGATTGTAAAAATGTAACGTCCAGTTTGTCAAACGTGTGTTTGGGTAAAGCCATATGTTTTGAAAGGGGGAGTTTGGGAAATGAATTCACATGCGCCCTGTGGTTGTTAAACCTCAATCGGAAAGGTGTGCTGGTTTGGCCCACGTACTGCTTACCGCAGGTGCCACATGTGAGGAGGTATATCACATTACATGTGCTGCAGCACAAGTAATGCGATATACCTCCTCACATGTGGCACCTAGCACAAGTAATGTGATATACCTCCTCACATGTGGCACCTGCGGTAAGCAGTACGTGGGCCAAACCAGCACACCTTTCCGATTGAGGTTTAACAACCACAGGGCGCATGTAAATTCATTTCCCAAACTCCCCCTTTCAAAACAAATGGCTTTACCCAAACACACGTTCGACAAACTGGACGTTACATTTTTACAACCCAATTTCAAAAGCAACCGTGATCGCGAGCAGAGGGAATCGTATCTTATTTACAAATTTAATTCAATCCGGGCCGGTATTAATGAAGATCCAGGTATAATGTTATCTATGCATGCAATCTACCTTGACCCCCTGTAGCGGAGTGACTGTAGCTAATTCAATCCCATTCGTTCAACCCTTTAATTTTTCCGCGTACCTTTCGTATAACCTGTCGATGAGTCAACGGGTCATGACCTTCAACAGGCATCTTCCACCTGTTGCTCCTTGTTGAATGTTCTGGGACTGTGATTAACACTGTTATATTTACGATTTTTTTTTTGTAAGGAGATTTGTTTATGCTCTTCGGCCGAGCGTTTGCCTAATTTAATGCGTACGCTTTTTTTTTTATTGCAGGGGTTTTGTCTATGCGCGTTGGCATTGATTTACTCTGTGTGCTTATTTCACCTTTTCTTTCTCTATGTAGGGGTTTTTTCTATGCGTTTGGCGTTATTTACTGTGTGCGCTTATTACATTCCTCCTCTTTTTTTTTCTTTTTTTTCTTTGTTTGATTTTGCGTCCTTCCGCGGCGTGCGTTGCTGGCCATCAGGGCCGATCCAACTATGTGAACGTTACTGCGCCTTCCGCACGTGACGTTCCTGGGGTCATGAAGTCTGACGTGGCCTTTGGTTTGCTCCGATGGCTGGCGGCGTCTGCTGCGGCCGTGCGTGGAGTGGGGGGAGTACAGCAGCGTTTTTTCACTTGGGCTCTTTTACTTGGGCATTTTTACACGTGATCTGACAGGTGACGTGGCCCGGGTGTTGAAACAGAAAACAACCCTGTAACCGACTCTGGCAACCAGTCTTGAAGAAGGCCTGTCTCAGGCCGAAACGTCGACTCACTATATGCTCTAAAACTCCAACAACGTTTCGAGGTGCGACTTTATTACTTTATATATATATATATATATATATATTTTTTTTTTTTTTTTTTGTGAAAGAGGAAGACTCACACCGTAAAGAGTGTTGTGCAAGACGAAGACTTGCAAATACAGGAACGAAGAAGAAGGTTAGAGTCTGCGTGTGGGAGAATCGACGCCATTAAAGACTGACGGCGAACCTGACGAAACAGAGCCTTCGAATTGCCTTCTGCCATAACGATTGGTGTCAGAAGTGGGATCATGGAAGCCCGAAGCGCCGCCCAGGGGGATCAGCACCAGGTCTTCCCTATTGAAAAAGGCCAATATGAACTCGGCTTATTGGAAATATTGTATTCCACTGAGGTTGGTGAAAACCAATAAAAACTTATTGTTATCCGATTAACCCAATACGCGCGATGTGAATTCAAATCGGAGCACAATAACCCGATATAGTATGCGGTTATTGGTATACAACAGGATATTGGAGCACAATATCCCGATATAACTTGCGGTTATTGGTATACAAAAGGATATCGGAGCACAATATCCCGACAGAACTTACGGTTATTGGAATAGAATATGACATCGCGTGCATATTGGGGACCGACATGGACATACTGTGCGGCCACACTGGCCACGCGATAAATAAATATCGTTCGTCGATCACGGGCCCAGAAAGAATACAATATGATATCGCGTGCATAAATCTCAGAACGAATTCCAAGTTACCAACATGAATTACGTCGGCATCTACCGCGGACTAAGAGGAAACGTAACACAATATTGAACGTCCGTGAAGCAACATGCGGATATCGGTATGCCCACATATTCGACATCGCGTGAATGATATCGTAAAACAGCAGGAGTAACCATACGGCAATACGAGAGAGAACGATATTGGAGGTGGATGCACACAGAAACACGAAAGTTCCGCGTTGCAAACACATTCACATGGATCGAAAGCGCAAGTACTACGTACGGCTGTTGGTACGGCACACAGTACAGACAGCCTCGCGCGCTTCAAATGCTAGACAACCACCAAACCATTCAGAATAACTAGCTGGAACACCCGCGACCTACCTTTTATTGAGAAAGCCCAATAACGACGTGCTTATTGGAGTGATCGTTTTCAAACAAATGTTTATTGCAGTTGTTGTAATGCAACAAAAGTTAGGTTCCCTGGGTTGAAACCCAAATTGAACACGATGCGTGACAATGTCAATTCGCACGATAACATCACGTGCATGTAGTTGCTTCTTACCCGCATATTTATCGATATTGACCCACCTTTCTGGGTAATCCTACGTCGTACACAAAATCCACGACCACATGCGAGCACATTTCACCCACCACTCTTCATCGCCTGTTTCGCGAGATGCACGAACTGTAAAAAACGACGTGAAAATTACGTGCATTTGCGCCATCAAACGATACGTTACAGACTCGTTTTTTTTTGAGAAGGCAAGTTTCCATTGTCAACCCGCGCGCGCGAGAGCTCGAGCTTCGGAAACAGTTCGCTTTGGAGCGTTCGGAGGGAGAAGGCAGTTCGCTTCGCCGCGAGCCCAGCGAGCCGGCGAGCCTGCGCGCATGCGCTGCCTGCGCTGTAGCCCGTGTAGCCCATCGAGTCAGCGAGCCGCCGTCCGAGCCCAGCGGCCCCAGCCGCCCCAGCGGCCGAGCCAAGCCTGGCCGAGCCGTTGACGCCAACTGCGCAGCGACCGACCCGGCGGGACGGCGAGATTGTCGGATGACAGTTCGTCAAGTTCGTCGCGCACTTTGCTTGTGGGCTCCAAGTGGAACCAACGCGCTTTCAATCGCTTCGAAAGGTGCGTATACACTACTTTATTGCTTGCAGCATTGAGTGCTTTGTATACACAGATCAAAGGGAACACTGAAGGAGAGAAAGGAGACATGATGTTTTGAAATCGCAGCTTATTTGAACGCACGTGTCCCCTGTTGAAAGCCTCTGGCTGTGCTCTCTTGCAGGCGTTCTTTCGACTGCGTGTACTCCGATGTAACGTCAGTCAGTGTTCACGCTCGGCTAGCTTCGCTATCTTGTTATCTCATGTGCCAAATAGACGTAAAAACCAGCGTATTGTCTCTTTCGGATATTCAACCTCCAGCCCCCCGGCTCCCAGCGTGCTTGCCGGCGCAAAGGCTCGTTGGGCTCGTTCGAACAGGCATTGTTTGAAGCTGACGAGTCGCCGAAGTGTTACCGGAGCTTCTCTTTACGAAAGTCGCGATCGACGCTCGACTTTGAGCTCGTACTTTTTTCTTCCCTGGTAGACTATGAGTGCCGACCACTGATGTGTGGTGCCGAATAGCGCCGAACGAAGTTGAGAAACGCTAGCGAGTCAGTCGGATTTTCGTGACGCCGCCCAACTGCTCTGCTACCGGCTGCGCTCAACAAATAATGTAAAAAGGAAACAACAAAAAAAAAGTGTTTTTTTTTGTTGCTGTTTTCCACCTCATTTAACGCAAAGTAAATCGCGGCTGTACGTTGGTTGACTCCCGATTACTGTCTCTACATGGTAGATAGTCTCATTACAACAGTGTCTTTTTGGTGTGATCTTATTCTGATATCGTTACATCTTGCTTTTTCATCTTGGCGCACTTCTAGACGACCTTCTACACGTTGCACATCTTGTCGACATGTCGCTGGTGTTTGAGACAAATTGGAAGTCACTGTTTGCTCACTCCTTGGTGCACATATTTCATGTTCAACATCGGGTATCTTAAGGAGGCGGCATGAAACCCTGGAGTTTGTTCAGAGGTACCTCAACATACTGTATTAGAGTGCCGTTTTGTGTGGTGTAGTTTCATACAAAACGAAGTTGCACTTTCTTTGCAATATACCCTATAATTGTTCACTACAATTAGAGTTGCAATGAAAAATTGGCCACGAGAGATAACTCGGCCAACGCGGCCAAAATATTTCTCGCATAATTTTCTCCATTGGTCATTTTGGACGTTGACAAATTTTCTTGTGAGTAATAAGTGTTATGGACATGTGTTTCTTCTACTTTTCGTACAGGCACCTCAGTTAGGTAAACCCCAGCAAATGCAGCAAGACAGTCTCATGGGGTTACACGAAGGATAACGGCATTCCTGCTCGAGTCCGAGTCTTGTCACCGAACTTCACTGAGCATAATGGTACACTCCCTTTCCTTAACTTTTCCCTCTAAAATGTGTTTTTCTGTTGTTGTTGCTTTTTTTCTTTTGAAAAAAATGTTAATACAATGTTTAAACACCCGATGTTGTTTATTTTTTCTTTTTATTTTTCTAAAATATGTAGTACATCGTTTAAACACCCAAGCGTTCGTAAATGGTCTCTGTACAAGACAATAGGGTGTCTTATACTCCATTTCAAACATAGCGTGCAACGCTGTCAAAGGTACTGAAGTGGTGCGCATAAAAAAATAGAATAAAAAAAATGCGTTACTCCGCGCGTTTCGTGGACGAGTGGTAGAAGGCACTGCTCTGGTGATACTGACCTCTCAGTGGCGGTGGTATGAACCCACTTGACGCGCGCAAAGTTTTTTTTTTTTTTTTTTTTAGGCATAATTTTTGTGCAAGATTGTGCGCATTGCCGAAGTGCGTATTTCAATTCCTCCTTTCTTGCTTTTTATTTATAAGTCGCCGAGGAGCGAGATTGCTACCATCTGCTCTGCCGCTTTGCAAGTGTTATTTGCCTCCGGCAGAGTTATATTTTTCTTTCGTGCAGTGTGGAATGAGGAATCGCCCTGATAGCAGCTTTGTCCCAAAATTTATAATAAGACATTCATCCACAGTAGTTGCAGCCTGTACAATTTATTTTGAAATAGCTGTCAAGGGTTGGAATCTCCCTCTCAGAGCACTTGCGAGGCACCTTCAGATGAATGGCGTGTGTGAACTCATCATGCTTGACGGTCCCCGTGCTCGAAACTTTCATTTTGCGAGGTCTTCGCTTCGGGGACGCCACCTTTCCAGATAGGCACTGCGCCTTGCACTTAAAGGGACTATGAAATGATTTTAAAATCGAATTTCATCCACCGCGCGTCGTAAAAGGTGTGAAAAGAAACACAAAACCACAAAAATAGGGAGCCAAAAAAAATTATTTGCTATAGAACTTTTAAAAGAAAACTGGACTCTTTTGCGCCTTCTTTTACTACGATGCATCCGCGGAAACGGAGCACGTCAGCCGAATCCACGTCGCCTATTGGGTAAGCCTACCTCACCAGCACCGCGATCGTAAACAATAAATAGCCGGCGAATGTTTCCTAAAAGTTTTGTTAAATATTATTCAGATCCAGATTTTGTAGCATAATTAGAGATGTGTGGCGAAAATTTCCAAATTTGATAATGCTGAGAGCTAAGCGCCATCTATCGTGTGGTAAACGAAGCAACTACTGCGCGTGCGCAGTAGGGCAGCTTGGGTCGCGACGACCGCAACGACCGGCGAACGTTTATTTCCTTTGATTTCCTTCCTCTCAAAACTCCGACTGACTGAACGTTTATTTTTCTACGTGTTCTTCTCGCGCGTTCCGACTTCAAGCAGCAAGAAAAAAAGTACTTAAAACAGACCACGACGAACAAGAACGGTGAATCCACAAACACCCGAGAAAAGCGACTCCGACGAAGCGAGCTGCTCAGAATATAGGCCTAGCAGGCACTCCGACTCGGCGCAGCGTTGCTTCGTCGGAAGACCGTCTGCCTACGACCGGCTGGCGTGCTGAATGGAATATGCCCGCGCTACCCTTGCGGACCCTTCTCGTATTATAGTTTGATCGCTGACCTCAATTTTAGATTAAGAGGTGAGGTCAATTCCCCTTGTTTTCCGAGGCAGTGTTGACGAACACTCGTCGAAACGGGACTCTCGTCGATTCTATCTTCTTGTTTTGTGTGATATAGAGCTGAAATAAACGCCGTATGGATTACCTTCGTAACACGGTATGTACACTTTGTTATTGGTGTGCCATTTTTATTCTGACAGACTGCACGTCACTGTCGAGCTATAACCTTTCTTTGCCGAGTGTCGCGTCAGTATCGAGTTACAATCGTAAAAGATCGGTCCCGAAGCGCTTACCAACAGCGCGAATACAGCACTTCCATCAAACGCGCGCGTCCGCTCCGAGTGTGAACAGGTATTTACGTGGCTCTTGCTGACACTCTTAGTTCAAACGTATCTTTTTTAACGTCGGCTCGCTCCTGCATCTCCGAGGCCGCGAAAAACGCCGCGGCAATTTGTTTCCATCTACGTCGCTTTGCAAACGACTGACGCTGGCCGCCTTTTACCAACAATGACAGTTGGGTTGACTTCTGGAGTCTTCACCGGAAGACTCGCTGCACTTCCCAACAGGCATACTGGCGTATGGGACTAGTCCCATGCTGTCGCTGTAGCGCAACATATTGAATTTCGCTCAGCTGCGATGCGGCGATGAGAGGCGCCGATTCAGAAAATACGTCGGTTACATCAGCGCAGTAAAACCTACCGGCGCACCCCAACTCCTCGTCGCTACCGCTCCCATTCTCCTACAGCCGAGAGAACTTCCGGTTCCGGAAACAGCGTACGTCACGGCTTGTTTTGCGGTCAGTTGGAGAGAAAGAAAAAGTCGATATTTCATTAATTTTTTGTGTAGAAGTTAATAAACCGAGACGAAAACGGATGCCTGTTCGCCATTCAGTGAACATTGACGGTTTAATGTAAAATTTATCTGGAAAAAGTAAAAAGGTAATTTCAAGGTCCCTTTAACGACAGTACGGGTGCACACTCCGGTGTTGTTACTGGCCGTCTCCAGGACTTCACGACCGAATTGTCCAGGGGGCGTGTTCTTGTACACGCGTACACATTGGCGATCATCTGCTTGCGCTCTTTCAAGATTTTTGCAAAACGAATCTTCGAAAATATCTGAGCAGGAGAGGTACTTGAGCTTGTTGCGTAAGACGCCATCTTCTCAAAACAAGCCAGTGCCACACAACCCCAAAACCCGCAACGGCTGCCGCACGGACGAAAACAAATATAATTTAAAGTGGTTTACATTATCTTTTCCTTTTTATTGAAAAACATTTGTGATCCGTCGAAATCATAACGCCACCATCAGTTACTAGCCCCGAGGAGGCACATTTTTCGACTTTCTAAAATTTTTTTGCAGGGGACACAATATTTAATAGGGCGAACGAAGGCACAGTCAGCACTGCAAACCGGTGCGCCAGCTTTGACTGCGTTGCACACTATGTATGAAACGGAGTATAGGCCCGCTTCAGACGGGGCAACTCTTCCCGCAATTTCGGGGTTGGTGGCAGGTTGTTCCCTAGCTTTCCCTAGATCGACACAAATTGCTCAGATTGGGTCTGGCTCGAAGCGGACGAGCAACTCTGACTACTCGGAGATGTTTGAAGCAGCTGCAGCCATTCAGGAATGCAATATTTTCACGTGACACCCCTGTGGTGGTGATGATGACAACTGAAGACTTAGTTCTGGTTTGAAATGGATCGTTTTTGGTAATAAACTGTTTCAAAAAGACGAGTTAGTATTTTTAGCGCAATTTAAAGATATATACACATGTTTTTAGGATATAAATGTGCATCTAAATACTGCAAGAAAAATAAAATTTCATGATGATGGCAAGTCGTAGCAATTCGTTTGCTGTGTGTGAACGCAGGCGGCCCGTGTTGCTGGTGTTGCGACGTGAAGTTGCTGGGCGAAATTGTCGCGTCTGAAGCGGGCCTTAGGGAACTGAATTCAAGAACCAACCCACCTGAAAACGTTTTTTTTTTCTTTCTTAGTATTTTTATATATATACTTTTTTTAAGTTTTAATGTATCGACACATAATTTTCATACTAATTCACTTTCAGAAGTGCTTTTATTAACACTCTGGCTTTCTAGTGCTTACAATAGCTTCTCGGTGAGCTAATGCCGGCTCTGCAAAGGGAAAGGCATCTTCCCACGCTTTGCAGGCTGTAAAGCTGTGGCTTGCACAGCTCTAGCATGTCGTACCTCGCTCACTGGCTCCATCGCGAAGCATAGGTGCTGCATGAGTCGTGCCACACCGTAAGGCCATATAGACGCTTTGCAGCAGCTGTGCATGGAGGACGCCATAACTGACCTTCAGTTTTTGTTTCCTCTTATTTCGTTTATTTCACTTCATCATTACCATAGCAGGCCAGGTTATTGCCTTACTAGATTTAACTGTGTCCTTTTCTAAAGCATCGGCCTTTGTAGAGGATCGTCTACTACTGTTTCAGTTGCTCGGCATCTCGGTAAGACAAGAGAAGGTCAGCAATGGCGGCTGCAATTGGGCGCGTGTGTAAAGCGTCTATACGGTCAGGTCACAGCACCTGGGACCATTGGTCACTGCACTCGGCTATTGTATGGTGGCATGGTCGGGGCATGAGGCAGGGGTACAACTTGGAAATGCTGATCTTCATCACATTTGAAACACAATTTTTATTACTTTTGTGCCGAGTTGTCAGCATTTTAAAGGTCAGAAAGCAAGCAGCAGTGACTGCAAGAAAACAAAAGTTTAAAACCGCTCTTACTGAGAATCTTTTATGAGCACTAGGAAGCCACGTAGTGTAATTAAAACGCTTCTGAAGGTAAATTAGTGTATAAATTAAGTGCTTGTGCCTCAAAAATAGAAAAAGAAAACTATTTAAATATAATTATAAGGATAAAAATATACACCAGGAGGACTTAAACCAAAACTACAGTCTGAGTTTGAAATTTGACACCTTAAACCACTAGGCCACCACCCAATTTTATTTCCAGGTTGTTTATCAAGGTATATGAATTTCGTTTGCAGCTGTCGGCTGCAAGAGAGATTGCCTTATTTTCATTTATTTTACTAGCCCCACCAAATATGACAATTGACAAAGAATAGAACCTCGTTTGGCGGCCGAGGCACTGTGCTTGCATCAAGGCAAACTAGCCTGGCTTGGTAGGCTTATATTTTGTTTCATCACCCGTTTAGGATTCTGTTGTCGCTCATCAAAAGAAAAAGAAAACTGACTAATTCTGACTTATTCCGGTGTGCAGGTACCCTTGGCAGTAAACTCTGCTAAATGGGGCAAAATATATATGTTTTTTTAGCAAATATGCATT